GCCACAACAACCCCTGCAGCGCTACAGGCTGGGGACAGAGGGGCTGGAGAGCAGCCAGGCAGAAAGGGACCTGGGGCACTGATGGACAGCAGGCTGGACATGAGGCAGCAGTGTGCCCAGGTGGGCAAGAAGGCCAATGGCTCCTGGCCTGGATCAGGAATGGTGTGGCCAGCAGGAGCAGGGCAGGGATTCTTCCCCTGCCCTTGGCACTGGTGAGGCCACACCTCGAGTGCTGTGTTCACTTCTGAGCGCTCTCAGTTAAGGGAGGACCTGGAGGGGCTGGAGCATGTCCAGAGAGGGGCAACAAGGCTGGTGAGGGGTCTGGAACACAAGTCCTGCGAGGAGCGGCTGAGGGAGGTGGGGTTGTTTATCCTGGAGAAGAGGAAGCTCAGGGGAGACCTCATCACTCTCTGCAACTCCCTGACAGGAGGGTGCAGCCAGGGGGGTTCAGGCTCTTCTCCCAGGGAACAGTGACAGGACAAGAGGACACAGCCTTAAGCTGCACCAGGGGAGATTTAGGCTGGACATGAGGAAATATTCTTCACAGAAGGGGTGATTGGGCATTGGAAGGGGCTGCCCAGGGAAGTGGTGGAGTCACCGTCCCTGGAGGTGTTTAAGCAAAGACTGGATGTGGCACTCGGTGCCATGGTCTGGGTGACAAGGTGGTCTTGGGTCAGAGGTTGGACTTGATGATCTCCAAGGTCTTTTCCAACCTGGTAAATTCTGTGATTCTGTGATGATTGTGACACTGCAGAGCCCTGGGGAAGCAAGGGGCCATTGTGACACTGCAGGGCCCCGTGGAACTAAGAGGATCACAGTGAAACTGGGTACTGAAGGCACCATAGAACCAAGGCCTCATTGTGACACTGTGGGGCTGAATGGAAGCAAGGAGTCCAGAGGGATACTCTGGGTCCTCATGGAACCATGGAGGCCACTGTGACACTGTAGGGCCTTGTTAAACTGAGGGGCCATTGTGACACTAAAGAACCAAGGAGACCCTTGTGAGACCCTGGGGCCCAATGGAACAAAGGGGCCATTGTGACACTGCAGGGACTGGTGGAACTAAGGGAACAATTGTGACACTCTGGTGCCCCATGGAACCAAGGGTCCCTTGTGACACTGCAGGGGCTGGTGGAATTAAGGGAACAATTGTGACACTCTGGTGCCCCATGGAACCAAGGGTCCCTTGTGACACTGCAGGGACTGGTGGAACTAAGGGAACAATTGTGACACTCTGGTGCCCCATGGAACCAAGGGTCCATTGTGACACTGCAGGGACTGGTGGAACCAAGGTGTGGTGGGTTCAGTGCTGGCTAAATACCAGTGCCCCCACTAGAATATAATTACTAATTTTCTACTATGAGATAGGATTAGATGGAAAGCAAAGCAGGTTTAAGACTTTAAAAGGGTATAAGGAAAACTTTATTAATAGTAACTAAATGTAAAAATTAGAATTTGAATAAAACGTTTAAAACCTTTCTTCTAGCTCCTACAACCTTTTCTTTCCCACTAAGAATGTACAGAAAGAATTCAATCAGTTTATCACCTCTAGAATAGTCTTTCTTCAGTTCACTTAGGGAGAGGAGTCTCTCTTGTCATTTTATGGAGACTTCTCCACAAGAAAACAGTTCTCTCATTGCTTTTAATTTCCACAAACAGCAGCTGCCCAGGACTGCAATTGTGAAGTCCCCCCCATTTTTTCACAGCCTTCCCACAGCTGTGTTTGTGAGCTATGTCAACTTTTGGGGTATAAATTTAAGGATGAGCTATTCAAGAGCAAAGGTTCCCTTTATCTGTCTCTGACATCATCTTCATCTCTGGGAACAGAGGTCTTCTTCTTTCCCTCAGGGCAAAGGGTCTTCATCACTTCTCTCGGTTCGAACTTCTCATGGGATCACAGCTACTTCAACATCTGCTTGCTTTAGCAGAAATGCCTTTGCTCATATCTACAATTTGAACACTTCCATTCCCCCATACTTTTAATGAGTTACAGGGAAAAAAGAGTCTGATGTATCAATTATATTTTCTCCATAGCCCTACAGGAAGATTTCAGCCCAGGACTGAGGCATCTCCTCAACCCTCCCATCTGGAACTTGACTTCCTCTTACTGACCTTCATATCTCATGTTGTTCTCTACGTGTCTTCACTCTGTCCTTTTCTCTGACCCAAGGCAAGACTGAAGGTCTGTAAGCCCTATCTATGCACTGAAAGAGTTAATATCTCACCTGGGGCCTGCAGATGGTCATGTGCTTCCTGCTGTGTGGCAGCTGAAGCAATCGCGGTGATGGATTTTTCAGGCTGCCCTGGGGGCTGTGTCAGGATCAGCCCCATGGCCGGTCTCTGGCCCCTGCTGCGCTCAATTCCAGGCTCAGGGCCACTCTCTGTGTGGGCTACAAGGCTGCCTCTGGCCTCAGCCACACGATCTCGTGCAGCGGCCACACTGGGGGGAAATGGCTGAGAGCTCAGCTGGAACACGCCAGGGGCTGATGGCCTCTCCTCCCCCTGCCTGGCAGCTGCTGGTGCCCGGCTCTGCTGGGACAGGGCTTGGCAGGGTCCCTGAGAAGGGGCCCAGCCCTGCAACAGGGCCTACCTGGCCTGGCCTAGCTGAGACAGGAGCCAGGCCGGCCTTGTTACCTGTTCCCAGGATGGAAGGAAGAGTTTTTCCCAGGGTTTGTTCATTTTTAACTTGTGCTCATAGAGGCGTGTTCAGCTTTCTAGTGGTTTAACAAGATGTCAGTCTTCAAAACCAGTCACTGATTGGTGCTGTTAGCCACAGAGGAAGCTCTCAGCAGCTCTTATCAGAATAATCATTTCCATGGGCAGCTTCTTCCCTCCTCACCAAATGTCAGTTAATGCAAAACCAGCACATAAAGGAACAATTGTGACACTCTGGTGCCCCATGGAACCAAGGGTCCCTCATGACACTGCAGGATCTTGTGTAAGCAGGGCTCCATTGTGACACTGCACCACCAGGGAATCCATTGGGGCACTCTGGGGCCTCATGGGACCAAGGGACCACTGTGACAATGTGTGACCTTGTGGAACCATGGAGGCCATTGTGACACTGCAGGACCTCGTGCAATGATGGGGCCATTGTGACGCTGCAGAGCCCCATGGAACCAAGGGGCCAGTGTTGCTCTGCAGGGACTCATGGAATGAAGGAAACATGTTTGTCACTGTGGTTCTCCTTGGGACAGGGAGGCCATTGTGACACTGTGGGACCAAGGAGAGCATTGCTGCACTGAGAGACCTCATGGAACCAAGGATCCATTGTGACACTGTGGAACCAGAGGATCCAAGGGACTTTGTGACACCAAGAGGTGCCATAGATCAAAAGGGCCATTGTGAACCTGTAGGGACTCCTGAAATGATGCAGATATTGTTACACGCTAGGGCTTCATGGAACTGTGGTGATCAACCTGTGTCCGAGTGTGGATCTGCTGGAGGGTAGGAGGGCTCTGCAGAGGGACCTGGACAGGCTGGATCCAGGGCCCAAATCCAACAAGGTGAGGTTGAAGAAGACCAAGTGCTGGGTCCTGCACTTTGGCCACAACAACCCCTGCAGCGCTACAGGCTGGGGACAGAGTGGCTGGAGAGCGGCCAGGCAGAAAGGGACCTGGGGCACTGATGGACAGCAGGCTGGACATGAGGCAGCAGTGTGCCCAGGTGGGCAAGAAGGCCAATGGCTCCTGGCCTGGATCAGGAATGGTGTGGCCAGCAGGAGCAGGGCAGGGATTCTTGCCCTGCACTCGGCACTGGTGAGGCCACACCTCAAGTGCTGTGTGCAGTTCTGGGCCCCCAATTTAGGAAGGCCATGGAGGGGCTGGAGTGTGTCCAGAGAAGGGCAACAAGGCTGGTGAGAGGTCTGGAGGAGAAATCTGGTTAAAAGGACCTGAGGGAGCTGGGGTTATTTGATCTGGAGGAGGCTCAGGGAAGACAAGGTGGTGTTAGAGTGCAGGTTGGACTTGATGATCTCAAAGGTTTGTCACAACAAAGCTGAGTGTTTTCTCTGGTGTCCTGCAGCCCTTGCTGGCCCCAGGGGCTGATGGCATTTGTGCTCCCTCAGGTTCATGTCCCCACAGCAACAGCATGGGGGTGCTGCCCCTGCTGTGTGCAATGCAAACAGGGGCTGCTGAGCCAGTGCTGCCATGTCTGTGCCTGCAAGGATGGGGCACCTGTGTGAGCTGGGGGAGAGGCCAGGGCTGCAGAGGGGGGATGTTGTTGGCAGCTGCATGAGGACGCTCTGGGACGCTGCCCTGGGCTGTGCAGTGCACTGGGGATGGATCAGCCCCTGCTCTGCTGCTCCTTCCCGTCTGCCCCAGGGCCCTTGCAGAGCCCCAGCCATGCTGTTTGCCCCCAGCCTGCCCACGGCCAGCCTGGGGCTGCTGACGGGGGTTTCTGTGCTGAGCATTGGCCTGGCCGTGTTCTTGAGAGAGCCTGGGCAAGGAGCCTGGAGCCCCCAGGGCCTGGCCTGAGGTGTCAGCGCTGCCCCAGCAGTGCCCATGGCCTGTCCCTGCTGCAGCCCCGGCACTGCCACCCCCAGGGCTGTGCCCGGCCCCGAGAGCACTCAGGCCCTGCAGCAACACCAGGGCCACCAGGGCAGCGGGGCAGGGCCACGGCAGCAGCACTGGCAACACCAAGTGCTGCTGCTGCTGCTGCTGGGCACAGCTGCTGGGGCCGCCCTGATCTGCCCCAGCTCTGCACACAGACATTGCTGCTGCAGCTACAGAGAAGGCAACTAAAGGGCATCTCTGCAGAAAACTGCTGGGAGATCCTTTAGTTCCGTTAAAGCCTCCGAGAGTGTAGCTCCTCATTCTCACAGTCAGGGGCCACAGCAAAGGTGGAGATAAACAAAATGATAAAGGGCAGAAGCACAGACCTTGATTTATGACCATCATTGAAATCTAAAACAATGGAAAAAATAACCCAACAACCAAACCAACAAGAACTATTAAAGATGACTTTTGTTATACGTGATTTACAGAAAATTTTCCAGCAGTTTAATGTTTCTGAAATCGTCCAGTCATCATTTTGCACACTGCAGCCTTGAGCTCCTGGTTCCTCAGGCTGTAGATGAGGGGGTTCAGGGCTGGAGGCACCACTGAGTACAGAACTGAGAGTGTCAGATCCAGGGATGGGGAAGAGATGGAGGGGGGCTTCAGGTAGGAAAATATGCCAGTACTGACAAAGAGGGAGACCACAGCCAGGTGAGGGAGGCAGGTGGAAAAGGCTTTGTGCCGTCCCTGCTCACAGGGGATCCTCAGCACAGCCCTGAAGATCTGCACATAGGAGAAAACAATGAACACAAAACAACCAAAACCTAAACAGACACCAAGCAATGAAATCCAAATTTTTCTGAAGGTGGAGTGTGAGCAGGAGAGCTTGAGGATGTGTGGGATTTCACAGAAGAACTGGCCCAGGGCATTGCCATGGCACAGGGGCAGGGAAAATGTATTGGCTGTGTGCAGAAGAGCATTGAGAAAGGCACTGGCCCAGGCAGCTGCTGCCATGTGGGCACAAGCTCTGCTGCCCAGGAGGGTCCCGTAGTGCAGGGGTTTGCAGATGGACACGTAGCGGTCATAGCACATGATGGTCAGGAGGGAAACCTCTGCTGAAATGAAAAAGGCAAACAGAAACACCTGTGCAGCACATCCTGAGTAGGAGATGGTGCTGGTGTCCCAGAGGGAATTGTGCATGGCTTTGGGGACAGTGGTGCAGATGGAGCCCAGGTCGCTGAGGGCCAGGTTGAGCAGGAAGAAGAACATGGGCGTGTGCAGGTGGTGGCCGCAGGCTACGGCGCTGATGATGAGGCCGTTGCCCAGGAGGGCAGCCAGGGAGATGCCCAGCAAGAGGCAGAAGTGCAGGAGCTGCAGCTGCCGCGTGTCTGCCAATGCCAGCAGGAGGAAGTGCCTGATGGAGCTGCTGTTGGACATTCCTTCACTCTGGCCATGGTGGACTGTTGAAAGAAGACACTGACAAGCTCTTTGAGTCAATCCTATGGGGTTATTTAAGGAATTCCCTCAAAACTACTTCTCTACCTGTCGGAGAACTTCACTCAACATTTTTATTTTTGAGCTTGGGTTTCTGCTCCTGAGTTACTGATTCATCTTCAGCATTGCTCTCAGCCTGAACCCCAGGGAAGCCCAGAAGGAAAACAGGGCTCCCTGTGTCCCAGGGCAGTCAGACCTGCTGGTCCCCACACAGGTGCCCTTTGCATATTTCACCTCCCTCTAATTCAGGGTGATCGAACATAAAACGAGCTTGAAAAATAAAGTGGAGTTTTTGAACACTCCAGCTTTAAAGTCGATTTCTCTAAACCCTTCTCTCTTTCCCAGTGCAGCTGAACATGGAGCGATACCAAGGGTTGCTCTGGCTTTCTGCTGCCGGCAGTTGTGCCTGCTGGGAGCTGTTTCTCTCTATCCAAGCCTTGTCCATGCCAGTGCTGCCAGAGTCCAGCCCAGCCCTGGGGGCTCAGCTCTGCCCTGCAGACCCCTCCCAGGAACAGGGAACTGCCCAGGGGCATCTCCCTGGCAGCAGGGCCTTAAGGGCAGGCCAGACAAACAGAGATGCTGCAAGCCAAGGTGCTGCTGCTGCTGTCTGTAGGGAGAGGAGGCTGAGGAGGCACTTTCTGAGGGAGATCTGAGGCCCATCTGCTGATGCCCAGGCTGACAGTGCAGGAGGCTCAGGGACACAGCCAAAGCTGACAGCCCCTTTCCCTTCCCTTTAGGAGAAAGCTGAGAGCAGCCCTGGCCATGCAGCATCATCTCCAGAGCAGGAGGAATCTGCCCTGATGGGGGTGGCTCCTTGCACCTGGAACTTCTCCCCTGCAGCGTCCATGGGGAGCTGCCAGGCAGGCTGAGAGCTGCCCCTGGCAGGTGGCACATGCCCTGGGCTGGCCAAGAGCCCTGAGGGCTGCAGGAGCTGCTCTGCAGGACAGCCCTGGGCAGCCCTGGCTGCAGCCCCAGCTTCAGCCCCTGCAGCCGTCCCTGGCAGCAGGAGCCGTCCTGCCCTGTCCCTCTGACGGTGCCCAGGGCAGCCCCGCTCTGCACCACATCCTCCTCCTCCTCCTCCTGCTCCTGCTCCTCCTGTGCCACAGAGAAACTGGGAGAGTCCTCCTGACACATCCCCCAGGCTCTGGGGTGTGCTGGCTTCAGGAGATCCCTCCAGGAGCACAGGGGACATTGCCCTGCACCCACACACTCACCATGCACAGGGCTGTGAAGATCTTTCCCCAGGTGAAGTCTCAGCTCAATGTCTTCCCAATCCTGATTGCCTTCAGCCTGTCCCTGCCTGGCTCCTGTCCCCTCAGTGCCTGCAGGCAGAGCCCTCAGCCCTGCTGGGCTGGGAGAGGAGCTGGCCCTGGGAAGAGCTGTTCCTTTAAAGCTCAGCAGCACAGACACAGCACAAGGACTTTAATGAGCCTCTTGGGGATTTGGTGTTGTTTACATCAGACTCAGTCCCTGAGAGAGTGATCAAAAAACTTCTCAAGAACTCAAAATTAAATTGTAACTCCAAAAGTTTCTTGAAGTTTTAATGGGTTCCACTGAGGAACACGACTGGGAAAGTGTCCCCAGGTTCCAGTTAGAGCAGAACCCTGGAGGCAGTGATGACAGCTGGGGACAAACAAGGCCAAGGTGTCTCTGGTGCTGAGCAAAGCTGGATGTGTTTGAGGAATGCCAAGGGCCAAGGCCTGAGCCCCAGGGCCTGGCCAGGCAGATGCTGTCCCTCCCTCCTTGCTCAGGGCTCTTGCCGGGATGGGCACTGGCATGTGGGGATGTGCAATGCCAAGGGCAGGAGCATGGGGCGGCCCCTGCCAGGCTGCTGAGCAGGGACAAGGAGGCCATGAGGCCCCAGGCCTGCAAGGGTCACTTGTCTCCTGCTCCTGCCTCAGGCCCAGGCCCAGCAGCCATGGCCAAAGTGCTGCCCAAGTTGGCTCTGGCAGGGCTGTCTTGCAGCTGCTGCACAGCCCTGGTGCTTCTGACGCAGATGAGATGTGACCACCAGAGGCCAAGGCCAGCCAGAGCTGACAGGTTTTTCTCTGAGATATGCTTGCATACAGCAAGGTTTTAGGGCGGAGTACCAATTTTGTCCCTGGGCGTCTGAAAAGAGAGACTGTTCTTTCCATAGGAAGGAAAGCATGGAGCCCCAGTGGTTCATGGGCAGATGAGAGGCAGCCCTTGGCATTCTGAGATCAGCCAGACCCGTCAGGTCACCCCTAGGAGGCCAAATCAGCCAGATGTGTTCCATGTTTCTCTCATTCCATGGGCCCCCACAATGTCCCAGTGGTTCCCTTGATTCCACGAGCCCCTAAGGTGTCACAAGAGCCCCATGGTTACACGAGGCCCTGAAGGGTCCTAATGGTCTCCATGGTTCCACAAGGCCCCACAGAGCCATGGTGGTCTCTTGGTTCCATGAAGCCCCACGGTGTCACCATGGTATCCCAGAGTGTCACAATGGTCTCCATGGTTCCACCAGGTCCTCACAGTGTCACTGGGGTCTCCACAGGAAGGAAACAACCAAGCCCCAGTGTTCCAGGGGTGGCCAAGGGGCAGCCACCAGAGGCCAAGGGCAGCCAGATTAGACAGTGCTGGCAGATTTTGTCAAGGAGCCATCCTTGGATATAGGGAATTGTAGAGGCAGAATATCAATTTCAGCCATGGAGGAGAAGGACAGTTCTTTTCTATAGGAAGGAAAGCAGGGAACACTGGTGTTTCAGGGCCAGATGAAAGGCAGCCATCAGAGGCCAAGGCCAGCCAGGCCTCTCTGTCCTGGCACGTTTTGCCTGAATGCAGCCCTTTGATAGAGGGAATTTTGGAGGTGGAATCCCAATTTTGGCCATTTCTGCATAGGTAAGGATGGTTCTTTTCCACAGGAAGGAGAGCACAGAGCCCACGTGTTTCAAAGGCAGAACAGGAGACGTGGCTCCTGGGAGGCCAAGCCAGCCAGACCTGTTTGTCCTGACAGCTTTCACCTGGGAGCAATCCTTGGATGGATGGAGTTTTGGAGGTGGAATCCCAGTTTTGGCTATGAGCACCTGGTTGAGGTGGATGGTTTTTCCAGAGGAAAGAAAAGCACAAACTCCAAGGTTTTTAGAAGAAGATGAGAGGTGGCCACCCACTGGCCAAGGTAGCCAGAGGTGTCTCTCCTGGCACCATTCATCTGTGGGAAATCTTTGGATTTTTGGAGGTGGAATCTCAATTTTGGCCATGGGCACCTGGCCAGGAAGGAGAGTTCTTTTCATTAGGATGGAAAGCACAGAGCCCCAGTGTTTCAAAGGCAGATGAGAGCCAGCTCTTCAGAAACCAAGGCCAGTCAGACTTGTCCCTCCTGGCAGCTTTTGTCTGGAAGAAATCCCTGGATATAGGGAATTCTGGAGGTGTATTCCCAACCTTGGCTATGGGTGCCTGAATGTGAAAGGTGCTTTTTTCCCATAAGAAAGAAAAGCACATGGTCCCAGTGTTTCAAATGCAGATGAGAGGTGGCCCCCGGGTGGCCAAGCCAGCCAGATCTGTCTGTCCTGCCGGATTTCATCTGGGAACAATCTTTGCATATATGGAAATCTGGAGGAGGAATCCTGATTTTGGCCATGGGCATCTGGAGGAGAAGGGCAGCTCTTTCCACAGGAAGGAGAGCCCAGAGCCCCAGTGCTCCAGGGACAGATGAGCAGCAGCCCTTGACATGCCAAGGTCAGCTGGACCTGTCAGGTGGCCCCCAGGAGGCCAAACCAGCCGCAGACCTGTTCCATGTTCTCTTGGTTCCATGGGGCCCCTGAGTTTCACAATGGTCTCCTTGATTCCATGAGGCACCTCAGTGTCACCATGGCCCCATGGTTCCATGAGGTTCTGTGCTGTCAGCAATGGTCTCCTTGTTTCTGCAGTGTCACAGTGGCTGCACAAAGGCCTGAGGGTTTAAAAGAACAGAGCACGAGCTCAGCCCATGGTCTGGACCCTCCTTCTCCTGGGGTCTGTGTCTCACCCACACTGGAACCCAAGCAGTTGGTAGCTGAATGTGTGTCTGTCTCTCTTTGTTTTTAATTGTTATCCTCTTTACTTTGAGCATTTTTTGGGTAACTCAGAATCTTAAGGGTTAGAGGTATCCAGGATAAATGGGCTAAGTTAATGAAGTTAATGCTATAATGAGAGCTTTTTGTTGAATTGGATGTTGTCTTAAATTCTTTGCCAAAGTTCCTTGATTTTCTGTACTTTGCCAGTAAAATTTTGTGTCATTTTGACCTCTTGAGAATATCTGGCAGGTGTTTCTCCTGTGCACCAAACTCGAGGAAAGGAGCCTTTGGTCACCCCCAGCATTTGAGTGTTCTGGGGTGTCCCAGCCCCACAGGCTGACAATGGCCTCTTGTTTCCATGAGGCCCCACTGTGTCACACTGGCCCTCGGTTCCCTGAGGATCTGGAGTGTCACACGGGTTTGTGGCATTTGTCCTTGCTGCCCCTCACATCCCCCTGGCCCACCAAGAGCCCCGAGGCAGCCGTGAGGGACAGGCCCTGCTGGCCCAGGCTGGGCTCAGGCCTTGGCCTTTCTGCTTCCTGCAGCCAAGCCAGGCCTTGCTCAGCACTGCAGTTCCCTGCTCAGAGCCTTGGGCTCCCTGCAATCCTGGCCTCAAGGATCTGCTCTCACCAGGCCCTGGGCAGCCTTTGGCCCTCCCTGCCCTCACTGGGGCCCAGCCATGCTCCAAGGCACTTGGAGTTTTGCTGCTGACTCCTTGAGCAGCTTCTTCATCCTTCTCTCCGTGCCTGCGGCTCCTGGACTGAGCCCCAAATCCACCATGGGCTGTCCGGTCAGCTTTGCTCTGTAACATATTTGTGATTGCAACATTTTGTGCTGTGGGAAATTGATTGTGCAGGTTCCTGGAAAGGCTAACAATGCAATTAACAAATCTTTCGATTTTTGCATCCCCCAGTCAAAATAATCTTGCTTCAAAGGTAAATGGATCTTTGAGAATTCTTGTCCTGCCATTGTCAGCAACCTTGTTCTCCCCATTATGATGATCTGTGCCGCTATTTCCAGATCTGTGACAATCGTCTTTGAAGGCCTGTATGGTAGGAAAATCCACTCTATGATTATTAAAGAATCTCTTTGAGATGAATCCCATTGGAAGATCAAACCATGGAATTGTGTTTTTCTTTCCCAGCACTGCCAACTGAAAAGGCAACAATTCAACGAATCGATGTGCTTGTCTTTTCTGAATAGCATCCATAACTTTCTCCAATTCTTTCTTTGCTTCCCATGTGAGTGTCCTGGGAGATCGAATGTCTGTGTCTCCTCTCAAGAGATCGAGCAACACTGGAATGTCACTGTTCGTGATTCCCAAAATCGATCTCATCCAGTTGATCTCTCCTAGGAGTTGCTGTAAATTATGCAGATTGTTGACTTTTGTGCTGATCTCCATCTTTTGAGGCCTTATTGTTTTCTCCGAGATCTTCCACCCTAGATATTTCCAAGGTGCGACCTCCTGAATCTTTGAAACACTGATTTCCAGACCTGCCTTTTGCACTTCTGCAATCACACGGTCACAAGCCTTTTGCAGCTCTTGTTGTGTTGATGCCGCAATGAGCAAATCATCCATATAATGAATGATTCTCACCTTCGGGAATTTCTTCCGCGCTGGTGACAAAGCTCGTGCCACGTACCATTGGCAGATTGTCAGCGAGTTCTTGAGACCCTGAGGAAGAACCACCCAATGGTACCGCTGCAGAGGCGTTTCCTTGTTGATACTTGGAACTGAAAAGGCAAGCCTTGAAGCATCATCTGGATGAAGCGGAATACTGAAAAAACAATCCTTGAGGTCAATGACCACAAGCGGCCAATCTCTGGGAATCATTGAAACAGATGGAAGGCCCAGCTGAAGCGGTCCCATGTCTTCGAGAACTTCATTGATCTTCCTGAGATCATGCAACAGCCTCCATTTGCCTGATAGCTTCTTTTTGATGACGAACACTGGAGAGTTCCAAGGGCTGTCTGTTGGCTTGATGTGTCCCTTCTGCAATTGTTCTTGGACCAGGTTTTTCAGCGCACCCAACTTTTTTCGCTCCAGGGGCCACTGATCCACCCAGACTGGATCATCCGTTCTCCAAGTCAACTTCAGTGTGGCGAGTGCCGCAGTGACCCCCACTAAAAATCCATCTTGATCTTCGTGCCTCATTGTGCCAAAAGATCTCATCCCCAAACTGTGATTGGCTTTTGCAGAACAAAAGGACGAATGATCGCCGTCTTGTTTCCTGGTCCCGTGACAACGATGGCATTCTCACTCTGCAGACACAGAGAAACTCCCCCTATGCCTGAGAGAGATCCCAAGGACGCAATCAAGCTCCAATTGTGGGGCCAAAAGATGTAGGATATTACTGTGACATCTGCCCCTGTGTCGAGCATGCCTCTGACTGCTATTGTTCTGTCTCCAGAAGTCAACTGACAAGTGAGTGTGGGTCGGTCTCGACCTATGTGTTTTATCCATGTAGTGTGTATTTCAACATGCTCCTTCAAAGGAAGCTCTTCCTCGTTGAAAATTGACATGACTTCTTTAATGGCTTGTGGTGGCAAGGCAAAAGCTCTCGCGACCTGAGTGTTTTCTGCTATGGTCAATGGTGGACGAAGCGCTTTGGCCAAAACTGTCAGCTCTATATTCTTGTCTGCAGAAACAACTGTTGGATAAACAATGAGTCCAAGGATGCTACTTCTGTCTTGTCCTACTATTAAAAAATCTTGTCTCTTATATGAATCTCCGTGGATACCTGTTGGAATCTCTGCATGACTTTCATCCAGAAAGCATACTAATTTTGAAGCTGCCAATGTGCACTGTGCTCCTGATGGAAGGAGGTCTGGGTTGCTGGGGAATCGGCTGAAGATTTTGCTGAGGGTGTCTGCTTGACGTTCCCCGATGACTGTTCTGTTTGCTGTTGTGTCGCCGCCATCACTTGTGTCAACGCCCGCTGGTGGTTTGTGGACGTGCTCCTTTTCCTGTTTCCCGGATACAGTAAAGGATTCCCTTCCACATCTGTCTGAGAATAACATTCTCTCACAGAGTGCCTTCCTCTTCCGCACCGTGCACAAAGTGGCTTTTCTCGTTTTGGCATCTGCACCTGTGCGTGCATCTGTGAACAATTCTTCTTCATGTGTCCAAATGCCCCACACTTGTAGCATTGTTCTCCTGATGGATTGTTCTTTTTCTGGATGGTTGCAAGAACTTTACTCATGTTTTCTCTCTGTCGTTGAAGTACTTTTTCCAGCATTTTTTCCAACACCTTGTCTTCCGACTGTTTTTCCAAGTGTTTCTTCAACTGTTCTTCCCATTCTCCTCTCAGCTCATCCCTCACGATCGACGTGACATGCTGAGGCGTTCCCACCTTGCTGCATGCCTCCACCAGCTCTGCCAAGGATGGCTGTCCTGGCATTGCGCTAATGACCCATTGACAATCCGGGTTGGCATTGCTGAAGGCTAGACTTTCCGTGAGAGGTCTTTTCACTGCATCATCAGTCACTTGTCGATCCATAGCTTGCGTGAGTCAATCTATGAATGACGAATATGGTTCTGTGGGACCTTGCCTGATGCATGAGAATGGAACGTCCAGAACTCCCGCCGGGGCGATCTGCAGGATCGCTCTGTGTGCTGCTTCCTTGATGTCATTCAACACCCGTTGTAGAAGTCGTGCTGCTTGCTCTGCTGGATTAGTCATCTGGAGGATCCCCTGCCAACTGTGCCTCTGTGAGATTTGCTTTTGGCCCACCTTGATAACTGTTTCTCAACTCTGTGAGATACCTTCCCCATCTTCTTTCCCAGATGAGGTTCTGCGTGTCTGTGAGGATCATTGACACGAGGCTTCGGATATCATATGGTGTGAGGTCGTACATATTGAATGTCCCCTCAGGAGTTGTTTGAAGAATTGTGAATTCAGCCCATTATTCCGAATGGCCTTTGCTAGGTCTTTGATTACTTCATGACCCATCCTTTCCCATCTCGGATTCTGACCCTGTGCATCGTATGTCACTGGCATTGTCAGATCTCCTGATCCTTGAAACAAATCCTTTTGTTTTGCCAACTCTTTCCTGATTCTTTTCCAATTCATTGTTTTCACTGGCTGTTCTTCTTCCTCCTCTGGAAACTCCATTGGTAGCTGCATGCACAGTGGAGTCGTAGAGGTCCTTGGTGATTCTTTGTTCCACATTCTTTGTCTTGAGGTTTTCGGTCTCGCTGCCAAATCCAAAAAAGAAACTTGAGGTTCTTGTGGTCGTGTTCTTCTGGCTGTATCAAAAGAATGCAGAAGGCTCTTTGTTGCTTCTGCTGCCGAAAACATCCATGTCGGAATTCCTTCTGATGCTGTGATTCGTATCATGTCTTCCCCTTGTGAGTGCGCCTCACCTGAAGTGTCTTCAACTTTGCGAAATCCCGAAGTTGAGGGATAGTCCATTTGTTGTGTCGCTGTTATTGTTTTCTTCGATGTAGTTTTCTTTTTATACGTTGTTGGAAAAAATCGCTGCATTGTTGCAGTTTTGCCAGCAGGTGGCGTTGTGGCTCTGTTAACAGGCCTGGCATGTCCTGCACTGCGGTCCTCCCCCCATAAGGTGGCGGTGTCATCTGCCTGGACGACCGTGATGATGTCGCAAACTCGATCTGCTCCTGTTCAGCAGACTGCAACGTTTGCAATGGTGTTTAAGACCGAGTCTGCATGGCTGTTGACTGAGCTAACAATGGAGGTTGAATACGTGAACGTCTCCCTTGGATGGAAGAGGTTTGGACCACAGGGATTGAAACTGAAGACATCGGGATCGGAGAGGGGGTAGAGCTCCGGCATGTCGAAGCCCGAACATGGCCCCTCCTCCTCGCTCGAGACATGACGGGGGATCGGACCCACCTCCGACCGTGCTCTGCCCCTACTTTCCACCCACGTGCGCCCTCGGGAACGCCTCCTGCCTCCCCTGAACTGATGTCACTGTCTCCTTTCCGCTCCGTCTCCAAAGTCTCGTCCCTAGGATCTGTTCCTGACCCCCTCTCCTCCTCCTCTGATGCTTTATCCACACCCCCTGCCGGTGCGTGCAGCCCTCCCCCTGCTGGTACCCCTGTTTGCGCCATGATCCAGGCCGATCTCCGCGTCCCGACTTCCAGCTTTGGTGTCATCACCGCGCGTCTCCTGCGTCTCCCTACGGTAGCCGGCTGGAGCCCTGCAGCTGCCGCATGCTCACTGCCCATGTCTGACGCTGCCGCGTTGGTTTGAGAGCCCTCCCCAGATGTCCTGTGAGCCTTGCCCTCCACGTGCACTTTTGGCACCGCGCCGGCCAAGATTGCCGCCGCCCTCGGCGCTGCACTCGCAAAAGCCACACCACAACCTGTGTCCTCCATCGCCTCCGTGCCCCTCCCACCAGCTAGTGCCGCCGCCACTGCACAGCCGTGCCCGCCGCGAGAAAGCGCATCCCCCCTCCCCTCTGGTCCCCCTTCGACCCCCCCTTCCCGACTCCACCACTTGTTTCATCCCATCTCCCTCTGGCTCCTGTGAATCGGGAAGGTGCGCTCCTAAGGAGCAACCTGTTTCCTCGATGTCGCTGGGAGAAAGCCTTAACTCGTCTGGGATTGGAATGGTGTCGTCTGTGCCTGAGTCGGAGCCCGAAGCCCCTGTACTCTCTGGGGTTTCAGGGCGTTTTGGAGGTCCCTTGGGTTTTCGGGATGGTGGGACTGAAGGCAATGACATTTCTCCCTGCTCCCCTTCCTCGGGATCAGAGCCAATCTCCGTTCCGAGCCTTGCTCTCCTCCCTCCGCCCCTGTGGGATTTATAACAAGTTGTTGCCTGGCCAACCTCCTAGACTGTGCTGAGGTCGCTTCTAACATAACTCGTGCAGGAGACAGCAGCTTCAAGGCCGTCTTATCATTTTTAATAGCTAAGAGATAAAGGTGTCTATTAATTTCCTGCCAAAAACCCACTTCAAACAACAGACGCATCTCTGAGTATGGGTTATTACACCGCACCCATACCAACAGATCTTTAAGCTTTTTCTTTGGGATTCCTATGGTATGTGTTTCTGCCACGCCTTGTAAGGCGGACAAAATCCCTAATTGTTCCTGGGAGAGTACACCCCCCATGTTCTTAATTTTTGACCTTCTCACCGAATTTGTGTCATCAGAGCAGTCCAAAGGCTCCTGGTCTCCGGCCTGCAGGTCACAGGAGATGGATTCGGAGGCACCTTTCCGATTCCGATCCGGGCTGTTCTGCTACGAACCTTCTTTGGCAGAAGTGGAGTGCGATGTTCTCAGTGGCTGCTGCTTCTTCAGACTCCTCTGGCTGCTTTCTGGCTGCTTTCCCAAGGAGTTATCAGCGCTCTCCTGGGAACAAGTCCAGCTCGGGAGCTGCCCACTCAGCACTTCGGGGTCTGTGAGAGATGCCTGCCGTTCACCGCTCATGGGTGCCCACCGGGGCCCACCGATGCCCACTGGGGCCCACCCAGGGACACCAGATGTCCAGTTGGCTGTCTGTCTCTGCCCAGACATGTGTAGGGTGGTTCTGGGGCTGCCCGCGTTTCAAAGGACGAGTCTGCACTCTTCAGTTTTCGGTCTTCAGATTGTTTATTATTTCTTATCTATAGAATTTTCTGTCTGCCCAGCAGAGGTCTGACCTGCAAGGCAGCCAAGAGCACTCTGACCACCCACGGGGCAGTCGTGTCTTTTTATACTAAAATCTACATATATCATATTTACCTTTACTTCCCAATACCTTTCACCCATATTAGCAAGTGCACCTTCACCATGAACCAATCCCCAAGTGCCAACATCACCACAGAAAATGGATGACAAGAAGAAGAAAGAAGAAGGACAAGTCATGTCCTGATCCCTCCATCTTGTCTCCATAACCCCCCTGTACTAAAACCCTAAAATCTATGTTTTACACTGTAAATACATCATTCTTGCACCATTCACTCCCAAGTGACTCTCATGTCCTCAAACAGATGTCACATCCCTAGAGGGATCAAAGTCAAGCCACCAGATGCTCCTGGCAATATTCCAGGACTTCCAAGCCCCCCAAGGGTTCTCTCGGTAACTCTGGACATCCAGAGTGATGTGCTGAGTTCCCACAATGGGCATCATTAAAATACAGAAAGAGCTTGAGGTTGCCAGGGCTTGTGCAGCTGATTGGAGTCAGTTTGCAGTTCTGTTAAGAATGAAGATTTCAAAGTGCACCTCATGACTTTTTTCTTTAATCAAGTGAGTATTTTTTTATTTTCCAGATCGGAGAAGAGCTGATAGAAGCATTCCCCAGGTGATCTTGATGCTGAATGTCTCCTTACGAGGTCTGGCCATGGAGAATAATGAGCCCCTTGAGGGCTGAGTCTGTTTGGACCAGCTGCTCCTCACCCCCAGCCTCACCATGTCTGTATGGCCCACCTGGGACTGACATTCCCATGCCCTGCACAGAACCTTGTCCCCTGAGCTCTGCAGCTCCATGTCCCAGCCCATTGCACCATGTCCCACCTGCTCTCCTCGGGGCTCTACCTGCACACAGGCCCAGGAGAAGTTTTCCTGTTGGGAAGGAAAGAATAGAAAAGCCTGAGCAGGTTTCCTAAACAGCAAACCCCACTCAGGACCCACCTGCTCAGTCCAGGCTGCCTGGAATGGTGTCACCTTTCTACAAGGGACAGTGTGAGCAGAAATGATCTCTGGGAGCAGAATTCTCTCAGTCTTGCAGCTGAATCCTCTGTCCCTGTCCTTTCCCTGGATCTCTGTTGCAGATGGAAGATCCTCACCTTTAACCTCTCTCTTGAATGCAAACAGATGTTCCCAGGTGTGTCAAGCAGGATTTACTCAATGTTTCCTCAAAACTTTTGTGCTCCCCATGGAACAAAGGGGCCATTTTGGCACTGAGGGGGCGATGTGGAAGCAAGGAGTCAATTGTGACCCTGGGGTGCCATGGAACCAAGGGGCCATGGTGACACAGCAGGGCCACATGAATCCAGTGGTCCATTGTGACACTGTGGATCCAAGGAGACCATGCAGACACCCCTGGAACCTCATGGAACAAGGAGTCCATGGTGACCCAGCGGGGCTGCCTGGAGCCCATGGTCCATGGTGACACTGCCCATCCAAGGAGGCCATTGTGACACTGCGGGAGCTCATGGAGCGAGGGAGGCCATTGTGACACTGAAGAACTTCATGGCACCAAATATCCATGGTGACACAGCAGGGCATCATGGGAACCAAGGAACCGCTGTTGGCAGAGGGAAACTCATGGAACCAGGGGCCCTTGTGGCACTGCAGAACCAACAGAGCTGATGGACCTTGTGCCCTGGCCCTGCACAGCTCCTTGGGAGGCACGGCAGGAGCAGCACCCTGGGAGCCTCGGGAATGCCCCTCTGGCATCCATGGCACACACTGCCAGGGGCTGGAATTCCAGTTCCCAGCCAGGAAAAGATGTTCCTGACCTGGAAGGCACAAGCCCTTAAAGAAGGGACCAAAAACCAAGTAAGATCTTGCTCTTATAGTGACATTTCCCTGCCAGCCTTCATAACTTCACCCATGGTTGTTGTAGCTCATGGACTGGGAATTCAACCAGGGCAGGGTCTTTGGTGAGAGTTGCCCTGGGTCAATGGAGACACTGAGAGAGAAACTGAGCAGGCAGAGAAAGGCAGGAGAGAAAGGGGGACACAAACACAATCAGCTGAGAAGGTGGCACTCTGAAAAACAGAACTGGAACTGACTGAAAAAGAATGGGACAGAAAGAAGTAATTTTGTAACTTGATTTCCTATCAAAATACAATTTTCTTCATTTCTCACAATCCTCCTGCCAGTGTCATTCAGCAGGGCTGTCAGAAAGGTTTTGTTCTGAGAGGATGTTCCAGGCTGCAGCCACAAGCAAAAAGGGAATGGGGATTTTCCTGCTCCTGGTGAGTTTGACATCCTCAGCTGAGGAAAGGAGGAGGCACCAGAGGAAAAGGGCAACTGGGCTTCATCCTTCCACAGAAAAGAGTGAGAAGAAAATCTCCAGTTCTGTCAACGAGGAGGAGGAGGAGGATGAGGAGGACGAGGAGGAAGAATGAGGGGGGGGAGGAGTGTGACAAGGAGGAGGAGGAGCACGAGGACGAGGATGAGGACGAGGAGGACGAGGAGGATGAGGATGAGATGGGGGACGAGGATGAAGAGGACAAGGAGGAGGAGGACGACGATGAGGAGGAGGACAAGGAAGAGGATGATGAGGAGGAGGAGGAGGATGAGTAGGAGGAGGAGGACTAGGAGGAGGAGATGGAGGAGGAGGACAAGGACGAGGAGGAGAAAAAGCAGGAGGAGGAGGAGGATGACGAGGACGAGGAGGAGGAGGAGGAGGAGGAGGATAAGGAGGGGGAGGGGGAGGACAAGGACAAGGAGGAGGAGGACGAGGTGGACGAAGAGGAGGATTAGGAGGAGGAGGAGGACGAGGAGGAGGAGGACAAGGAAGATTATGACGAGGAAGAGGAGGAGCATGATTAGGAGGAGGATGAGGAGGAGGAGGACGAGGAGAAGGACGAGGAGGAGGAGGAGGGGGATGAGTATGAAGAGGACAAGGAGGAGGAGGACGACGATGAAGCAGAGGACAAGGAAGATGATGATGAGGAAGAGGAGGAGGATGAGGAGGAGGAGGAGGAGGAGGAGGAGGAGGAGGAGGAGGAGGAGGAGGATAAGGAGGTGGAGGATAAGGAGGAGGACACGGGCACTTCAAACCAGTGTAAGGACTTTGAAAATTGGTGTAGAATAAATGATCTAGAAATATACATGATGTGTCTCCGATCATTCACTGCACTTGGAGTAGATTCTTGATAGATGATGCATGGGAAGGAGCAAATCTGGACTAAATCTGATTTTGTTACTTGTGTGCTGTAATGCAGCCTCGAGAAGGAGCGATGCTTTCATGCCGCTGTATACACAAGTGTCTGAGGCAGGTGAATGCTCCGGAGGTTCCCCTGAGGGCGGCAGCGATGGCGGCGCCGCTCCCTCAGTGCTGCCTGGGCTGAGCGGGCACCCTTTGGGCCCAGATGGGACTGCGGCTCCTCTGGGCCCCGCTCGGCCGCCCCCGCTGAGCTTGGGCATTCGCCGAGCTCTGAGAAGCCGCCGGTGCTGCTGCGGCTGAAGCACAAACGCCCCGGGCAGAGGAGTGACCCTGCCGCCGCCGCTGCCCTGGCCCCGAGCCCTTCTCCGGCCCGGACAAGGCGCCGCTGCGGCTGGCGGCCACCCCTCAGCCCCCGGGCCCGGCCCCAGCAGGCGGGGAACCCTGGGCAGCACCCTTGCGGCAGCAGGGACCGAGCCCCGGCACCGGGCTCTGGCCCCGTGGTGCCGCAGGGCCGAGGGGGACACGGGCAGGGTGCTCGGCGCCATCGCCCCCGGCC